TTGGAGGCAACTACTGTCGTTCGCTTGCTGGTCGCACTGCGCTTGAAGTCCATCACTAAAGATACGGACCTGTCGATCTTCGCCGATGCCCACATCCTCGACACGGAGGCGAGGAGGACGAACGGTAGCGCTTCGGTGATGCAGGTCATTGGCCAGTCCTTACTCACGTCAGCGGGCGGGTATTGGGAGGCAAAGCTGAAGTGGGCTATCGACACCTCGGACGCGATCAAGATTCACGGGCCGAAGCTGAAGCAGATGTTGATTGACCTGGATGGCATCAACGGCGTTACTCCCCCGAAAGAGGAACACGCAACCACCATGCTCAAAATCGCGAAGGACATCCCTTACTTCGAGGTCGACCTCTACGAGGGCGTATGCGATGCCGCTAAGAACGAGCTGTGGGCCAAGGCCTGCAGGATGGTAGAATCAATAGTGGCCAAACCGTCCGCGGCCGCCACCGATGACGACAGCCTTCGCGGTATGGCGCTCCAGCAGTGGAAACTTCTGTTCAAGGAGCTCACCAAGCTCTTCCCGACTAACGAGCACGTCGAGCGCGCTGGCCGCGACCTCGCCGCGAAGATTGCAGATGTGAGCGAGCATGACAGATTCATTCAGCTCGGGTCGTCCATCGACAATTGGACTCCTGCCGACGAAAGCTCACTGGTTTCCTTAATGGCGTCGGTCAAGGACAACCAGTGCAAGGAGTTCCCCGAAGATGTCAAAGTTCAATGCCTTGCACTGTTCAAAAGGATTGTCGGTAGTGTATTCACGGATGGGCAGACTTCGCTGTACACGGAGACCGATAGCCGCGTCTTCCAGTGTTTGGATATGGTCGCAGAGAGAGTTCCGAGTCAGGATTGGCATTCCTCAACGCAACTCGGCGCGATGATCCACTCCTGCTGGTCGGTGCTGCAGCTGAAAAACGCCATCGTCGCGGAGCTTGGCGAGGACGCCGACCTGGCTAGCGATGTCGCCGAGCAGAGGGGCAATGACCTCTTCCGCTTGATCAGTAAAGCGAAGGTGCACTTCAAGCCGCTGGCGCTGGACGCCGTCGTGGAGAACGCTTCGCCCAACTTGGCGACGCTGCTGCAGGAATGCGGCGACTTCTGCGGCAGCATCGGGGAGGCCATCCGCAAAAAGCACACCACGGTTGTTGTCGACCAGGGCTTCAGCTTGTGCAAGGCAATCGACGAGACCAACGGGTACTCGGATTGGGTGAACAATAAGTCAAAGGTGGGCAGTCTACCAGAGCTGATTACGTTATACGAGAAGGGCATAAAGGACGCGCCTATCCACGAGTGGCAGGACAAGATTACAGTGCTCGAGGACGCCATCGCGACCTTGCAGCAGAAATCAAATAATTTCGGGCTTGACTACAAAGGCGCTGACGAGAAGGTTGTTGAGACGTCGAAGGCGGCCAAGCAGATCAAGAGCCTCATCATTGAATGCGAGTTGTGCGCGTCCTTCGCCAACCCGACGCTCGTGGGCAACAAGATTTCACTGAGGAGCGCGATGGTGGCAGCGCAGAGCAAGCTTCGCAAGTGGGAGCTCACGCCCGACGACATCGACCCGATGCTCGTCACGCGGTATCGCGACGCACTGCGCATGAAGTAGGCCGTGAGCCGTTCACGCAGCTGTTCGGAACGCGATGGCGTTGTTCTCGGCTGCGACGCGTCCAGCCAGATATCGGGTGGGAGGGACGAGACGGATGACGAGTAGGAGGGCGAGAATGAGAAGCGCACTGAGGGATGCAACGACAAGCGGGGGACGGGAAGGCTCGATAAACGCAGCTCTCGCCCATGTGCATCTGGCTTGTTTTGTTTGAAAACCAGAACGAGTTCTGGTATGTTGACCCGCCCAGGGGCTACCTGGGGGTGCTACGCATCTAGCGCGCATGGGGAATGAACGACTGCCGCGCCGTCATCGGCGTTCGCGCCACCGCCCTTCGATCCTTACTCACAGTCCTCCGTTTCCCCTCTTCTGGCCTATTCATCGTGCCCGCCCTCCTTATCCTATTCCTGATTTTCCTCTCGGCATCCCTCGTCACTCATCCTTCTCATCTCACCGCCCCTGTCTAACCGTAATTCTTGACGCTTCGCGTAACCCCGCCAGCCCATTCAGAAGCACTGCCCATGTGCTGACGGGAAAAGGCAAGAATGGGCACACATAGCGAACCAACAATGGCAAGGAGAGGAGGGTGGTCAGGGTGTTGGAGTGCTCTCTGAGCTCCTTTGGATTGTCTTGGGCCACTATCGGTGCTTTTTTTGTGGTGGGGGATTGGTGCCCTCTTGAGGCAATCTTGGGGCTCTCTTGGGGGCTTCTCGGGAGCCCTGGAGGGTCTCTTGGGGCCGCCGTGGAGTGCGTAGGTGAAATGATGGGTGGGGGGTCCTCCCATGGTGCCCCCCCCCCCCCCCCCATCTGGAACATCGAGATAGCCTCTTGGGGCGCTCTTGGGTCTCTCTTGGGGCGCTGTTGGGCGCTCTTGGGGCCGTCTCGAGGGTTTCTTGTGCCCTTCTCAGGGCATTATTTTGCCATATTTGCGCCATCTTGAGGCATCAGAACCGCATCGGAAGAGAGACTGCGAGAAAGCAAAACTCATTATTTGGTTTATGTTTTTGACAGGTTTCGGCATCTCGGGGAGGTCCCGAGGGGTCTCCAAGAGCACCTGCAGCCGTCTTGTGGCCCTCGCGAGGCATCTTGGAAGCATGATGTAGCTCATCTTGAGCGACCTTGCACTGCATTGAGCAATCTTGGGCAATCTTGGAGCATCGGAGGCCCTCTTATAGCAATCTTGGACCATCTTGGGCGCCCCAGCCCCTCGAGGGGACCCCGTCCAGGTCCAGGGGAGGGGGTAGGGGGAGGGGTAAACCCCTTACCGAAGGGGAAGAAGGGGTTGCGGAATAGGAAAGAAGAGCATCGTTAGACGGCCTGTCGCCCAATGGGCTGGCGGGTTCATACCTCTACGCAGCCACTCTCCCTGGTGGCCGTCATTCTCGCACTCGTGCTTCTCCCATCGTTCAGGTCCCAACGGCATGCTTTCAATGCAGACGCGGTCACTTAACATCAAATGGGCGCCTCGCTCGATACATCGCCGCCACTTGGCCTCGAACGGGCGAGTGACCCCCCCCCTGGCGGCTTCCTCTTGGGGTGCGTCTGAGCGTGAATCCAGTGCGCGGGTCTGAGTGTGAGCCGTGTGGTGGTGAGGTGCCTGCATATGGTTGGGTCGGAGCGCGGGTGGGTCAGCGTGTAAGTGGGTCCTAGCGCCAGTGGGTCTGGGTGCGAGTGAGTCGGACCGTGGGCAAAACAAGCGCGAACGAGTATAAACGAGGGCAAGTCTGGAGCAATCGGCGGCTCATGTCTTGGTTATGGCTTTCGCCGCAACCGCCGTGGTCCGCGGTGCTGCGGGCTGTCGCCCCGTTCCTCCGCCGCGCGCGGCCCCGTTTGAGTTAGGGTGTAGGGCTCTCGCCCTCGCCGCCGCGCGCGGCCCCTCGGAGTATCGAGGCATCTGCCGAGTTAGCTCATATCTGTAGGCTGGCTAGGAGCAGGGCTTTCGCCCCCCCCGCCGCGCGCGGCCCCGTTGGACATTGCTCTAAAGGCAGTCTTGGCCTCAATACATCAGAGTCGGGCCAGGAACAAAAAGGGGCGTCTCGGGAGCCTTAGGGCGGAGTAGGAACATGATTATGACAGGCCAGCCATGGGAAGGAATGGGTAGGAGCATGACAAGGACCAGGGACCAGGGGCGGCCAGGGGTATAAGGGAACGCGAACTAATAGATTCACGGTTCCCCCCGCCGCCCGCCACCCCCATCTTAAACTCGATATCGCGTAGGTAATGCAACAATCCTAGAATGCGCGCACAATGTTTCGTTTTTCTGGTGTTCAAACACGTTGTTCGCATTGCCGCAATCACTTGTTATTTCATTTAAACACCCAGCGGTTATCACACGTCACAAGGTTGTACGTGTGCTAAGTTATGTTTCTGATAGAGACAACGGGGTATGATGTTGTGTTATGTGGTGTTGGCGCGGTCACGTTATCATGCTGTGCTGTTCTAGGCTAGGCCGTGCTATGCCGTGTACCGCTATCATGAGTAGATGCGGCCCTGGTGCATCGATCAGATAATTGAGTTTTACAAAAGGATTTTTTGATAATTCCAAAAGTATTTTTGGAGTATTTTAACATAAGTGTCCAAAGTGTATTCTGGGAGTATTTTTGGGGTATTTTCAGCTTTCCAGTAGTTTTGCAGAACTGAGCGGGCTCAGAACTATGTAAGACTAGATTGCATTGCCGATGGATACCGTCAGAACGCAATCCCGCAGACGCCCTGTCTCGAGGGCGCCGCTCGTGATTTTCAGACTCCCGCAGTCGGCCGCGGCCCGCCAGGCCGCCCTCGCAGCGTGCCCGTGCGGCGGAGGCCTGCCGGCCAGGCCGGCCCGCTCGTTCGGAGGCGGCCCGCGCGGCGGCCTGCGCAGGCGGCCGCGGGCGCCCGAGCGAGGAGGGCAGCGCTGGCGGCCAGGGTGATGGTCGAGAGGCCGGCGTCGGGGCAGCTGAGCGCGCTGGAGACGCTGGCGGTGAGGCCTGGCACCGAGGAGCAGTACCGCAGGATCTTGCAGGAGTTCGTGGCGTTCTGTTCCGCGAACCACCTGGACTGGAAAAGTCTCGGCCAACTGGGCGAGGTCACCACCAGATTCCTGAACTACCAGTTCGCTCAGGGCGCGCCGGCGAGCCAAGGGTCGTTGCTCCTGGCCTCGCTTGCCCACTTTTTACCGGGCCTCCAGGGCTCGTGGAAGGCCCGGCTGCCTCGGGCCACGAGGAGATCTGTGGCGTGGCAGCGTCGGGTGCCCGCGATGACCAGGGTGCCGCTGCCGTACTGCGCCGCCGTGGCCCTGGCCGGCCTGCTGGCCATCAGCGGGCGGCGGCGCATGGCGATGTGGATCTTGCTCTCGTTCAGCTGCTACCTGAAGCCCTTCGAGGCGCAAGGGCTCCGCGGAGTCTCGCTGGTGCGGCCCGCCGCGGAGGCAGTTGCCTCGGCGAAGAGCTGGGCCCTGCTGCTCCACCCTCGAGGGGCGCCCGGGGAAGACAGGCCTGTTCAACGAGAGCGTCGTGATCGACCTCGACCTGCACCTCTGGTCGCTGCTCAGCGCGCTGAAGGACGTTGTGGGCCCCGAGCAGAGCCTCTGGGACTTCACCCTGCCGGCGCTGCGCGAGCAGTTCAAGGCGTTCGCCGGCCTGCTGAAGCTGGGCGCCCTCAGCCCGACGCTGTGCGCGCTGCGGCGCGGGGGGGCGAGCTGAGACCTGCTGGAGAAGCGCCGCGCGCTGGAGCAGGTCCAGCGGCTCGGCCGCTGGGTAGCGGCCGCCAGCATGAAGAGGTACGCAAAGGAGGCTTACCTGCAGGAGGCCATGACCCGCGTGCCGGACTGGGTCTTCACGTTCGGGCGGGTCGTTCACGCCAACCTGCAGCAGATTGTCGAGCTCGGACCAGGCGTCCGGCACCACCCGCGCGTGTGGCAGCTGCTCCCGGCACTCGTCCAGGCGCTGATCGCTACCGGGCTGCCGTAGCCTCGGCCGCTCAGGTCCGTCGTCATCTGAGGAGGGAGCTAAAGCTACAGTTGAAGTCTGCTCGGTACAGGAGGTTTGGAGTCTTCTTGGAACTCTTCGCCGGTTCGGGGGGAGTGGCCAAGGCCTGGAGGGCCGCCGGCCTCGCCGCACTGTCCCTAGATGTCTTGCATGGGCCCCTGGAGGACCATCTGCACGGTGCTTTTGAGGAAATCATCCCGGGATGGCTCAAAAGCGGCCTTGTCCTCGGCGTGTTCTTGGGGACCCCGTGTACCACCTGGGCCCGGGCCCTCCATAAGCCACTGCCCGACTCGGAGGCCCCGATGGGCCGCTCAGGTTTAAACGATAGTGAATTTGCTCGTCTCAAAATAGGGAATGCCACCTTCAATTTCTCGTGTAGGATCATTGCTTTGAGTTTAGCCATGGGGTTGCCGGTTCTGCTCCCAAATCCGCAGGCCTCTTTAATATGGGCCGCTCCCCGGCTCCAAAAGCTTGCCATGGCCTCGGAAGCCTCTCTCTCAATCTGCCACATGTGTCAGTACGGTACCAGGTGGCGAAAAGCCATTAGAATGCAAGGTTGGAACATTAGCTCGCTCTCCCCTCTCATGTGCAGGTGTAAAGGTAAAAATGGAATCTGCTCCCGGACAGGGGTGCAGCGCGTCGAACTCTCGGGCGCGGCGCCAGGCGGGCGGAAGTGGACCAGCTTGGCGGCCGAATATCCTCCTCCTTTCGCCGCTGCCGCTGCTGCCGTCCTCGCCCACTCGTCCGAGAAAGTTCGCGGTCTCAAGTTAGCTGACATGATGTGTGTATAATTGTGCTGCCATCGTGTTTTTGATTTCTGAGCCTTGGGGGGCTCCGGCCTACGGCCAGACTACCCGTTTGGGAGAATGGGTGCTGTGCGAGTCTTCGGCTAATGTCTCTGCCCTCGTCGCCGGTTCGGGCGTCGAGGGGGCCTCGGCCCTCTGGAGTGCCTCTCGAGCACGTGCGCAGGAAAGACAGATATTTATCAGCTGTCGCTGTCTGGCCGCCGAAGAGCGTCTGTACTTGCTGGAAGATTTAATATCGAGAAGCGAGGAAGGAGCGAGCAGACGGCCGCACGGCTTCGCCGCCGTGCTGCTCAAGCTCCGCCCACCCTCCCAGCCCTTTTTCCTCCTATCTCAATGCAGATCGGTGCTGTGCGAGTCTTCGGCTGATGTCTCTGCCCTCGTCGCCGGTTCGGGCGTCGAGGGGGCCTCGGCCCTCTGGAGTGCCTCTCGAGCACGTGCGCAGGAAAGACAGATGTATATCAGCTGTCGCTGTCTGGCCGCCGAAGAGCGTCTGTACTTGCTCTATATATATATACACATGTATATGTGTGTCTTTGCATCTGTATATACTCCTTTATGTGTACATCGGCTCACATGTCATGTATATAGCGTATATATACATATAGGTGGGGAGAGAGAGGGAGAGAGAGAGGGAAAGAGAGAGAGAGAGAGAGAGAAAGAGACAGAGACTGGAAGGGGAATATATATATACTTGCATACATACATATGTATATATAGATAACAAGAGAGAAAGAGAGAGAGAGAGAGGGAGAGAGGGAGAGAGAGAGAGAGAGAGATAAAGATACATATACTGAAAAGGGAGAGAGAGAGAGAGAGAGAGAAAGAGAGAGAGAGAGAGAGAGAGACATAGAGGCCTGTGTGTATATATATATATATGCCTACATACATAACAAGAAAGACAGAGAGAAAGAGAGAGAGAGGGGTGGGAAAGAGGAAGAGGGGGATAATATAGGATCTGTGGCAAGCTAGGTGCGCTCGCGCCATATTTGACATCCTACCCCTTCGCACCCATCCATTGCCATTGCGTTGTTTTTTTTCTTCACGCGTGTCATAGCGGACCTGGAACTCCCAAACTGATCCCTTCGTGTTATGCTCAATCGGAAAAAGGGAGCTGCGTAAATAGGAGGAGGGGGAGGCGAGATGAGGAGGAAGAGGAAGGGGTGGCGGATGAGCAAGAGGATGCGCAGGAGGAAAAGCAAGAGGACGAGAGAGGATGAGGGAGGAGGAGGAGGAGAAGGAAGAGGAGGAGGAGGAGGAGGAGGAGGAGGAGGAGGAGGACGAGGACGAACAGAAACAGCGGGAACCAGAGTGGAAGGAGCGGAAGAAGCAGGAGGACCAACGGAAGGCGGAGGAGGGGAAAGGGGTGGGGCGACAACGATGAGAAAGGATACGGATCCAGAAAAGTGGCCCGTGCTGGTCCGAGAGCGCCATGCTGAACGCCGGGAACAGCATTTTGAAACACCAGCCCTAAAAAACCCATGAGACAACAATGACGCTACCGAGGAACCCCACATACTTATAACATGTCTGGCGTGATGAGAGCTGACGTGGAACTTGCGAGAATGATGCAGGTGGCCGTTTCGTCGCCGATCCCGCTGGTTGTGGCGGTCAAGCATTGGGAGTCTGAGTACACTGAGGGTGTCCATAGGCCCTGGGAAACCGACCCCCCTATGCACAACCTGTGGTGTCGAGAAAGTACCACGTCTGCTACGCCCTGGACGACCAGCGCGCATAGCGGCCGCGGTGGAAAACCACCCCGTGCGCACCCTCTTTTGCGTCGAGAAATTGCCACGCCTGCTGTGTCTGGACGACCGTTGCGCATAGCGGCCGCGGTGAGAGACCACCCCTTGCGCACCCCCTTGTGGCGTCGAGAAGTTGTTGCTGCTGTGCGTGGACGACCGTCGCGCATAGCGGCCGCGGTGCGAGACTACCTCCTGCGCCCCCTCTATGGCGTCGAGGAAATGCCACGCCTGCTGTGCCCCGAACGACCGTCGCGCATAGCAGCCGCGGTGAGAGATCACCCCCTGCGCACCCCCTGTGGTGTCGAGAAAAGGCCAAGCATGCTGGTCGCTCATAGCGGCCGCGGTGAGAGACAACCCCCTGCGCACTCTTTACGGTGTCTAGAAAATGACACGCCTGCTCTGCCCCGGACGACCGTCGCGCATAGCGGCCGCGGTGAGAGACCACTCCTTGCGCACCCCCTATGGCGTGGAGCAAATGCCACGCCTGCTTTGCCGGGACGACCGTCGCGCATAGCGGCCGCGGTGAGAGACCCTCCCCTGCGCACCCCCGATGGTGTCGAGAAATTGCCACGCCTGCTGTGCGTGGACGACCGTCGCGCTTAGTGGCCGCGGTGAGAGACCACCTCTTGCGCACCCTCTATGGTGTCGAGAAAATGCCACGCCTGCTGTGCCCCGGACGACAGTCGCGCATAGCGGCCGCGGTGACCCCCTGCGCACCCCCTTTGGTGTCGAGAAAATGACGCCTCCTGTGCCTGGCCGACCGTGCGCATATGTTTTGGGTGTAAGATGCAGCACAGTTTCCACGCCTGCCACGCCCTGCGCATCTTGCGCGTCTGTGTGGTGTGGTGTGCGTGTCATGTGTATGATGCGTGTCCGGCTGTATCTGGGCGTGTGTCACTGGGGTGGGGGGAAAGAAGGAAGAGGAGGAGGGGAGGAGAGGAAGGAGGTTAGACGCGGGTGCGATGCGGCAGGGAAGAAGGCCAGAACCCCACGAAACATGTGGGGAATAATTCCACAACCCCATGAAACATGTGGGAAACAAAAACCGCACATGTATAGTATGTATGTCGAGCGTGGAGGAATAATGATGAAGAGAGGTAAGGAAAGGTGAAAAAGGGAGGCGGGTGTGTGAACGCGGGTGCGACGCGGGTGGGAAGAAAATTACGCTACCGGAGACCCCACATATTTATAAGATGTCTGGCGTGTTGATAGCTGACGTGAAACTTGCGAGACTGATGCAGGTGGCCGTTGCTTCGCCGATCCTGTTGGTGGCGCCTGTCAAGCCTTACGAGCCTGAGTACCCTGAGGGTGTCCATGCGCCCTGGGAGACCGACCCCCCGCGCACCCCGTATGGGGGTCCGTGCAGGCACAGCAAGCAGGGCGCACAGGGCCAGGGTGTCGCGCCCCCCCCCCCTGGTGAGAGACCCCCCCCTGCGCCCCTGCGCACCCTCTATGGTGTCGAGAAGATGCCACGCCTGTTGTGCCTTGGACGACCAGCGCGCGTAGCGGCCGCGGTGAGAGACCACCCCTTGCGCACCCCCTATGGCGTCGAGAAAATGCCAGGCCTGCTATGCCTGGACGACCGTCGCGCATAGCGGCCGCGGTGAAAGACCACCCCATGTGCACCCTTTACGGTGTCGAGCAAATGCGACGCCTGCTGTGCGTGGACGACCGTCGCGCATAGCGGCCGCGGTGAGAGACCACGCCCGGCGCACCCCCTATGGTGTCGAGCAAATGCGACGCCTGCTGTGCCCTGGAAGACCGTCGCGCATAGCGGCCGCGGTGAGCTACCACCCCCTGCGCACCCCCTTTGGTGTCGACGAAATGCCAGGCCTGGTGTTCCTGGGCGACCGTCGCGCATAGCGGCCGCGGTGAGAGACCACCCCTGCGCACCTGCGCACCCTCCATGGTGTCGAGAAAGTGACACGCCTGCTGTGCCTGGACGACCGTCGCGCATAGCGCGGTGAGAGACCACCCCGTGCGCAACCCCCTTCGTGTCGATGAAAAACCACGCCTGCTCTGCGTGGACGTCCGTTGCGCATAGCGGCCGCGGTGAGAGACCACCTCGTGCGCACCTGCGCACCTTCCATGGTGTCGAGAAAATGACACGCGTGCTGTGCCTGGATGGCCGTCGCGCATAGCTGCCGCGGTGAGAGACCACTCCCTGCGCACCCCCTGTGGTGTCGAGAAAAAGCCACGCGTGCTGTGCGTGGCGACCGTCGCGCATAGCGGCCGCGGTGAAAGACCACCCCCTGCGCACCCCCTTATGGTGTCGAGGAAATGCCAGGCCTGCTGTGCTTGGACAACCGTCGCGCGTAGCGGCCGCGGTGAGAGACCACTCCCTGCGCACCCCCTATGGTGTCGAGCAAATGCCACGCCTGCTTTGCCTGGACGACCGTCGCGCACGGCGTCCGCGGTGAAAGAGCCCCCCCCT